GGCAGACAACACTTTGAGTGGGGCCTTAGCCTCAAAAAATAGCGTTGAATGGGCTTGTCTTGGGCTTTAGAGGAGACAGTAGATGAGTCCTTCTGATTTATTCTGCCTATACATATGTTTGTATCTTTTGCTTCCCAAAGATTCCCTCGAATTTTCCAATGGGTACTAAAATATCAATAAAACATTTCATAGTATGATTGATAAATGAAAATTATTATTGAACGGGTGATAATATTTACTACCAAACGGATATGAAGGGGCTATGCTGGAGTTTATAGAGATAACATGATACATTGTATATACTAGTAAGTATGGGGCTGAACTCATTTCCATTGTCAAATATTGCCAAATCGCAAAACCACTTCTCCTAAGCTGCGTACTTTGAGAATCGCATAGAAAGGCCCTTAGAACTTTTAATCTAAGTTTCCATACCATATCTCAGATTTGAATAGAATAAAACCCATAAGACCCAGCACTTCAGTGAGTCACTCCAGCCACCGGCTCCCTCTTTCGCGCAAATATTTGCTGGATATTAACAGTCTGACAGGGCCATGTCATGTGAAAGTGTCCGAAGAGATTTCAATATGATAAGTTCTGCTCAAGACACATTTGCCTGTCAGCCAAGAAATGTGTCACTTGGCTGATGGATGGGCTGATGCTGATCCCACAGTTGGCCAGAAATCAAGAGCGTCTTATCTGATCCAAAAACTTTTCGAGGTAAATCTCCATAGCCATGAGAGCGTGGTTCATTTCGCATAATGTTGTTAGTTGTGGCTGTGTGGCAAGTATCTGCATCTCTGCTCTCTACATATATTCATGATAGTCGATTTTTATTTCCCCGCTAATTGGGCACGTGATTTGTGGGTGTCAGCTATCTCTTGCTCTGCCTCGCCTTCTGCCCCACCTTCATTGGTATTTGTGGCTACCACCATTCGTACTCGTATCTGGCCCAAAAAGAAGGAGGCGCGTTAATTAAATTTCAACTCGATTATGGCTATCGTGATTAGATTATAGCCGCATTTCTACAGTCATTGTTTTGTTGTTTGCTGAAAGCGGAAAAGTAATAAAAATACCTCAAACAGTGCCCCAGTATACTCGTAATATCCATCTATCTTAAAGTGCCAGTGGACCTGTCCGAGCGGCAGCTAAAATTAGTTGGCTGCACACTTAAAATTATATTTTTAGCAAAACACAAAACATGAAAAAGGCGGTCAGCATTTTGGCCAGTCTAAATTTGAACAGAACATTGCAGTCCGATGTACTCTAAGAAGATTGCGTATACGCGGAGTGGGCCTATCCCGAAATGTGTAGTCCCCTTGAGGGTCGAACAGAAGACGGCTTCCTCCCAGATAATACTCATACACTTGCTGTATTTATCCACAGAACAGATCAATTATAATCTGATTAAACCTCAATTCTGCTCGACAGCTCACCTGAATATCAGACAGAGGTCACTGCTCTACTCTCTTTGTTTGCACACAAATATTTCATTTTGTTGATTTTTGTGACTTACCTGTTATTTCCACCTCTGTAAATGGTTTCTTTTTGACAGACTGCAAAACGAGGGTGAAAATCAAATAGATTAAAACCTGAATTTAGCAGAATTTTCGGGTTTTTGTTGTATTTACCTTGGTGGCTCGTTTGCCCAGCAGAGCTGTTCCCAGCATCTGAAAAAATAGACATAAAAGAATACAGATTAAATATACATACAAGGTACATATAAAATACAGTCAAGAGAAAATGTTAGTCGGGTTGTGCAGAAAAAGCATTGCATATTTTTGAGCTGAAGCATCGCCGTTGATGGACGATGGGGGAGGTGCGGAATGGGGCAGATGACGATGAAGGCAGATACACAATTGTATTTTTCTTTTACATCATGTCTTAATAGACTAATGTCTGGCCCGACTGACGTTTTATTTTTGACATTTTGTCTATTACGCTGTTATTTTAGCACCCATTCTATTTTAATTCGATTTGGGATCGAGGTATTCCCAGCATTCGGGCAACGAAGACCCCAGAGAAATGAAAATGCAGTCAATTGTCACCTCAAATAACAATCTCGAAGCGAAGATTCCTTGAAGGGATTAGATATTTATAAGTTAATTAATTGAGGGGAATGTTTTTGTGATTTTCCATTGTTTTTCCTCGCGCAAAACCAAATACAATTACGTCGTCAGTTGAAAGTATTTCAGCAATTTTTGATTAATTACGAAATGGCGCAACGAGAGTGCTAAAAATATACATATGTACATATACATTTACGAAAATACTAAGTATATAATTCAATATCAGATTTAAATATGAAAGAGTTTCATCCACGGTACATTGAAAATTCGCCTTTCTTTTTGCCCCAGTGAAATGAGACGAAAATCGATTAGCGCTTAATTCAATCATGTCCGAATTTGTTTATTTTGTGTCACGTTTTATTTTGTTTTCTATTTTGTGTTTATTTCAAGAGAATTTAAGGTGCAGAAATATCAATTAGTAAGTGGTATTTTTGGCTATTTCTCTATGGGTATGAAAATATTTCCTTTTATCGTTCGGTATTAAAATTGAATTGTCTGAACAATGAGAAGAATACCCTTATTATAATTAAATAAATCTAATTCAGACCAACATATGTACATATGGTACATACATACATGGTAATTGTAATGCAGCAGATGCTCTCATGGCTCGAACGGAAGTTCTGTGAGTCCTTGGCCCAGGTTAGTTATCTCCGAGAGACCAATCAGTTGGTCAAAGACCGATCCAGGCATTGCTCACGTGCCAAGTGGCATAAAATGAAAACAAATTAATAAATTTACACAAAGACTGACATGTTTAATGCTCGCTTAAGTTTAATAGCATTTTTCGTTGACACTTTTTCACTAAAATGTACCTGCTTTAATTTGATCGTATTCAAGATGTACGATTCTGCGAGTATAAACAGTTTTTTTATGCGAATATTATGCCTTGCCAAAAGCATAAATTTTCGTCTGGTTTGTCAAAATATATTATGGAATTTTGATAGACTTGGTAGCCCTGAATAAAAATACATATCTACTTATAAATATTTCCACGCTTAGTGCGCACATCATAATTTGTTGGATGAATTTCAAATATACAAATCGCCAGAGTAAAGAAAAGTTAATAATCGCCAGTGTTTAGATTACGTATATACATATATAGAATCCGATAAACAATGGACTTTTTAATGCCGCAAAACAGCACCGAAACGCATTTTGGATGCCTAGAGACTTGCACATCAAGAAGCAATTATGGGCCATTTTCTATGTCATAATGAATCCCGGACTCTAGACTCCGCCACGACACGAACACGAAAAGCCAATTTGCCAACGGCACATGTAGATATATTCATATATATATATGTATATATATATAGACATATACGTACAAGTTTATCTCATAGATGTATGGCTGTCTGTGCACTTTAATGATGTGTTCTCGCTACAATGTTATTGGCTGCGACAGAGACGCGTTTTATGGCCCGGCCTCCTTGGGGGAAATGGTCTGTAATGCTGTCGAACGACTTGAGCGGCGTTTATCGCTGGCAAGATTTTAGTTTTCCCCATTTAATGGTTGCTCACATTTAAAACAATTGACTATTACAGAGAAAGGTGCAACTTTGTTGGCTTGAAACTTGAGCTTTGTCCCCAGAATGGGCTGAGAGGTACTAAGATACCTGAAGATCACACTTAAAGTGCATATTTAATAATAAATATAATTTAATGAGCAACTCAATCAAAAAATAACAAATGACCCTGATAAACAAATTAACGAATTGTAGTACAAATATTGTTTTTAAAATGTATTTATAGATATCGCGAAGATTGGGTGATGGGGGGAGAGCAACAAATATTAATATTTGCCCATAACAAAAGAAATAAACAGATTGTGTGTGCCAGGGGAGGCAGCTTTAGTGCCTGCCAGACGGAGAACGAAAGTTTGTTGCCTTCATGGAATAGCGATTAAGCAAATATTTAGACAAATGCGAGTCAAATTGGGTTGAGTGGAGATCGGTTCGGTGTGGTGTGGTGTGAAGTATCGGAATGAATGAATGTGTCTCCAAGGTTCAAGGGTCTATCTCTCCCTGGGTGCAGCACTCACCTTCAGCTGATGACGTAGTCCACTCATTGGGCTCATTTAGTATTCAATATTGATGATACCGGAGATGAGGATAAGCAAAGCGTACAGCAAATGAGGAGATGCCTCAACAAGTGATTGCTTGGTGCCGGTGGGGTAGAAAGGGGGCCGCTTTTGGCCTAGTTTCTGTGTTGGTTATTTATCGCTATATTTACAAACACTTAAATGGACTTTAAATATTGTATGTATATGTTCGATTGGCGGCACTTTTACACTTTTTTACGTATTCTGATTTACTTTGCAACTGAATCCCAAGAATGTCTGATAACTGGAGCATTTATAGTATGAATAATAGTAGATAAATTAAATTCTTTTTCTATTATTTATGGTTTGTTTTTTGCTCAATAAATGGATATTGTCGCTATAGAATTTTTCGGTTTCGGTGCGCGCACGATCTGTCGACGATCGTCTCGCCGCGGAATCACAAACAATATTGAACAGTTTGCTCGAAAAGCTGCCAAAAAGTGAACAGCGAAAACCAAAATGTTGTCGAAACAGTAGTTTGGAGAGAGCCGGAGATTTCTCTGCCTCTCTCGGAGATCTTACGGCACAGGAACTAAGAAATCTCACCTCGTTCTGGGGATTTCAGAAAAGATGCAGAGAGAGAACCAGGAAGAAAGAGTCACGAAGGAAGCAAACCAATTATAAATACTGTGTATCTTAGAAAAAATTTCAGAAGCTGGAAAGTTGTAGCAAGGCAGTCCGCAAGTTCGCCTTAAGGAGACATTGCTTAACTGGGGTTTTTGTTAAACCTTTAATTATTTAGTTTAGACTTTTGAAGCTGGTACACGTAAATGAATTACATTAATCAATTACTTCTAGTATTTTCTGACAGTATACATGAGTACCACTAATCTGATATAACCTGAACTATCTGGCAGCTCTCTGAATTGGCATCACACCATGTGAAGTTGGCTGCGCTTAATAGCCTTATGACAGATTTACTCACTGACTAAGTGCAAAAAGGGAGACAGTCTTATGGGAAAAGCATACAGTAAGAGCGAGAGGGATACCTGCTTCAGCTTGGGTTTCCGGTGAAGCTTGGAACAGCGCTGCACGAGAAATGATCGTTTTTTACACTTTTCAGATCCAATTTGGCTGTCAAATAAATAAGGCAATAAAATTAACTTCCCAGTCATTCCCAGCCATCAGTTCAGAAGGGGGTGAGGGAATCAGCCAGCGCCAGTGCAACGAATACTGCCGATACTCCTCCTCAGTCGGAGACAGCTCGAAAGTCTGGCTGGCAAAGGGAAAAGACAGTGCCCCTAAAGCTCGGCAAACGATTTACGCTTACCAAGAAGCAATAGGCCATCTTCCAAAAAGTCAAAGTATGTTTAGGAGATGACAAGGATGACAATGCAGAAGCGCTGAAGTCATTGGAAGTAGATCAAAGTCTAGTGTCCGTGCTGCACCAGTTGACCATCAGCATATCAGAAGCATATCTACATAAAAGGGTTGTATATCAGCGTTTAAGCTCTTGTGAAGAATCGCAGGAAAACATGTAAGTAAGAGTAGAGCGTGCGTGCGTGCTTTGTTGCCAAGAAAACTGCAATCCGTGATTGGTTATTTATTATTGGATTATACCTTATCATAGCTGGCATACTCCTGCTCCTCCTACTTCGAGGAGGGTGACGAATAGAATTATAAGCTTCACTGGGACCCCTGGGAACTGGCAAGTGACATAGTGGGCGGTACTGTGATGGTCGCCATGAGCTACGACAGAGCTACTGTAGAATTATTAGGTAAGTACTGTCACAGTCCCTTCATCTCTTGATTCTATATATATACATTTTTTTTGTATAAATTTAAGGATGTTAATTGACGGGCTCCGTCGCCACGGAAACTTATTTGCGATTTATGCCGTCATTGCCGTCATTTGGCCAATTACGAAGTCTTGTCGTAGAAGACTATTCATGTACGACGGAGGGAGACCCCAGAGTGGAACAGGAAGGATTAAATATTGACTAAGATATGTACTCCGGCTATGAAAACCATGAACGCCCCTCCTGATCAAATGGGCAAATACTCGTATGTCGCATTCTATGATCGTTTTGGGGAAACTTTGTACTCTATGGTTCTTGGAATTCGTGTAAAAGAGGGAGTGGGATCAGAAGAATGAAAAGCCAATTTAGAAAAGGAAGGCCGCAGATGAACTATTAGACAATTTAGAAACAAAGAGAAAGAACAGAGGAGTTACATAAATGCCAATTTAGAAGCACAGAGAAATGTCGACTTCCAGGAGGAGGTCACAGACGAATTAATGAAAACAGAGCAAAATTCTGACTGCTACACTGGAAAATGCTGGCGACGGCCGGAAGAGAGCAACAAATATTAATATTTGCCCATAACAAAAGAAATAAACAGATTGTGTATTCCAGAGGAGGCGGATTTAATGCCTACCAGACGGAGAGCGAAAGTTTTTTGCCTTCATGGAATAGCGATTAAGCAAATATTTAGACAAATGCGAGTCAAATTGGGTTGAGTGGAGATCGGTTCGGTGTGGTGTGGTGTGAAGTATCGGAATGAATGAATGTGTCTCCAAGGTTCAAGGGTCTATCTCTCCCTGGGTGCAGCACTCACCTTCAGCTGATGACGTAGTCCACTCATTGGGCTCATTTAGTATTCAATATTGATGATACCGGAGATGAGGATAAGCAAAGCGTACAGCAAATGAGGAGATGCCTCAACAAGTGATTGCTTGGTGCCGGTGGGGTAGAAAGGGGGCCGCTTTTGGCCTAGTTTCTGTGTTGGTTATTTATCGCTATATTTACAAACACTTAAATGGACTTTAAATATTGTATGTATATGTTCGATTGGCGGCACTTTTACACTTTTTTACGTATTCTGATTTACTTTGCAACTGAATCCCAAGAATGTCTGATAACTGGAGCATTTATAGTATGAATAATAGTAGATAAATTAAATTCTTTTTCTATTATTTATGGTTTGTTTTTTGCTCAATAAATGGATATTGTCGCTATAGAATTTTTCGGTTTCGGTGCGCGCGCGATCTGTCGACGATCGTCTCGCCGCGGAATCACAAACAATATTGAACAGTTTGCTCGAAAAGCTGCCAAAAAGTGAACAGTGAAAACCAAAATGTTGTCGAAACAGCAGTTTGGAGAGAGCCGGAGATCTCTCTGCCTCTCTCGGAGATCTTACGGCACAGGAATTAAGAAATCTCGCCTCGTTCTGGCATTGCCATTTTGTTAATTTTAATTTTTTGATTTATTTTCGCCGATTTCTTAGCCTGTTCTCGCTCTTTGTCAACAAGCTTAGCCGGCATCGCATTTAGATCTTGTGACGAGGCGAATTTTTTGTTCGTTTGTGAATCTAAAGAAATACATGTTCCATCAGATATTGCAGATTTCTAAAAAATGTATTGGCAAACATGTTTACTTATATTTTTTCCATGGAGCAGAATTTGGCGAGCAGAAATCTAGTTATGTATATTGAAAATCATCGGCATTTTGATAGCACTCACGAGAGCATTTTATAAACGGGGAAGGCAGGAGGCAAGTAGGCAGGCAGACGACAAAGTTTATATTTAGTCAGACGCACAGACTCGAGTCATTCAACCCGGTTGCACAGAACAGAGGCAGCAGAATTGCAAGTGCGTTAGTGTGCCACACTGCGTATGTGTTATTTTTAACGATTGACACACACTCCGCCCGGTGGGGGTATGGTGGTGTGTGGGCATGTAGGCTGCCTCCCCAAGAAACTTGGCATCGGCAACACAGTCCCAGAGAATCTTTGATAATTTTAATTAGGCAGCTGTCGTGGACCGTTCAGGCGATGCAGGTAAGGCGTCTAAAAATTAGACATTGCTCACACGCAGGGTTGGGGCTGGTGGGGTTCTTCTCTTGCATTGAAGCTGAAATTGCAGGGACCTCCAACACCATGAAGTACAGCTCAATCGGCGCGAATGCCAGGCCTTTGTGTGATGTTAAGAGCCAAACCAGCATCAATCATGAGGAGCCCACCCCTCCGTGTTTCATTGGTGATTTATTTTTGTATGCTGTATTTTTCTGGGCTTTTGTTCGGCTACAAAATATTGTTCGTTATCGATCATTGGGGCTATCAGTGAATGACTTTCCCTCAATGGAATGACACTTCCTCCAGTTGCAATAGCAGTTTCGATGGCATCTAACCGGAGAAAACCAGAACCCGATTCGGTTAGAGGGTTTAACATCCCATTATCAGTTCATCAAATCATCGGGCAGAACTCATTGCAGGATTTTCGAATAGCTTATTTATTTAATAAACATTTTTCGGCAAATACGAGCATATATGTATGTATGTACTATGTGTATTAAATTTGCCACGCGTTGATCAGAGGAAAGTGAATTTCCCGCATAAAAATGAAGCAAGCAAATTATGATGAGAAATCGTTTTGCTCTTTAGATTTCCAATGTAAATATTTACAGTGTTTATTTTTAAACCATATATCGTATACATATGTAGGTATGTATATCTTTCTATACCCCGTACAAGCTATGATCGTGCCAGATAAGTATTATGAAACTTTGCCAGTTCACAAACGCAATATTTCAGATCCAATAGAACTCGTGATTTTCCTGGGAACCATTACATTGATTTTGAGATTTAACGGGCTGTTAATGGCTCTGGGAACGCTTGAGCGATGTTTAGCAAGCTGGAAATGTCACACTTTATTCTGGCCTTAATGGCGGGGTAGTGATATCACCGGAGCAGCCCCATAGAGAGATGTACGAAATTCAAACGAATCGCTGTTGCTGCCAAACGAAGCATGAAAAGCATTCAAGGTCAAAAGGCAGCTGGAGGAGCGTTGCGGTATAACAAAGCAATATACATAGGGGCTATAACGGTTCTGGCAATGGCTGATGGCTATATCTGCAGTCTACTCCTACAGTAACGCACACTTACAGCGAGCGGATTTGCACTGTTATCCTCTTGTTCCGCAATTTTGACCAACGCACAGTCCACGCACGAGGTAGAGCGAGAAAGGGAGATTGAGAGCTCGAGTTTGAGAGAGGGACAGCTAGACACGCGACCCCTTTTCTGAGCTTTTCCCGTGTGTTGCCGCCTCGCAGACACTTTTTGTACTGCTCACAGATTTGCGGTTGTCTCTTCGGCTTGTCTCTCTCCATCATATATGTTCATATGAACGCCACGCCACACCACGCCACGCCACGCCAAAGCACATAAATAAAAGTCCACAAACGACACGATCCTAAACGAGATGATTTGCATGTCAAACAAATCTGTGATGTGGGTGCCAGAATTCTATTGTTTCTGCTACTGCTATTGCCACTGATATTCCGAAATTACAGTTGCGTGGGATTCGGGTCTGGCAGTGCCGTGCATCCGCTCTGGTCATTGTCTTAATGTACACGCGTACACACATGTCATGTCAATTTAATCACTTATTTATCGCCCATGTTTTATACTGAACGGCGGAGGAATATTTCGAAAACCCCCCTCTTTTGTATGCCTAATGGGAAGTTTTTCAATCGAATTGTGACTTATTTGGAATGGAGAACATTTAAAATGAAACTTTTTAAAAATAGCCACCGCGATGTGGAAGAATCAACGCAGTTGATTCCCAGCAGTTTTAGGAAAAATTAAATCAGTGCTATTTATGATGGTATTCCTTGGGAGAGAAGGCCATCCATTAGACCTTTTGCACTGGGCACGGGCCAATTTGTAAATGGCAACTAATTTGGCCCGCGAGAAACAAAAAAGAAAAAACTATGAGGTGAGCAGAAATCAATAGGATTAATGGTAGATTGTATTTGTATGCTGGCATGTTGGCCGTGATTCGAAGGCTGTTGAGACAGCACTTCAGTTTAAGGCAATTATTTGGATTTATTATACTTTCGGCTAGGATAGATTAAAATGGCTTAATACATAATACTATTTACTATAAGTAAGGCCTGCCTACGATATTGAGTCAAAGTTGGAAGTTGAAAAACTGATTTGTTGTGCGCTATGCTCGTTACACTAGTTTCACTATCAACTACATATCACAATTCGGATATTATCTGTATTTAGAGTCTAGTAAAAACCTACGCTAGTTAATGGACAAAACTATCATATCGATTGGACGGGAATCACAGTTCCCAAAAGGTACTCGAATAAAACTAATTGTAGTATCTAAAATTGTGTCCTGTAGTGTGGAAGTAATTGGTTTCTAGCTGATCCAATGTTAAAGCTAATCTAATGCGCTTGAAGCCTAAAAAGCATTTGCATTCACCATTTGATGATTTTGCAGTACGTTCTCGTATCACAAGGTAAATCGTTAATCCCCTTACACCTGCATATAACGATAGTTTGCGTTCAAACAGACCGACCCTGACCCTGACCCGGATCCACCGCGGTAATTGCATTCGCTTAATTTCACGTATTGCCCCAAAAAGTTTAGCACCAGGACACTGCGACAGAGGGCGTGCAGACAGCCCAACAGATGAGGCGTCATGATCGTGATTATGATGTAGGCAAGCTGCGGCACGCGATCCGTGTGTCCCATGGGACACAACCAGTAGCCGCGACGCACAGCGTCACGCGTGTGATGTGTGATGAAGGCACAGAGCAGGGCGCCCAGCAGTAGGCTGGTGCGGAAGTAGTTCAGGCACGCGGTGCATATGTAGAACAGCAACATGACCAGGATGATGCTGGAACAGTGCAGGAACGGACGACGCGACAGATTGGTGGCATCCTGCAATGAACATAGACAATCAATCAATCAAAGAGTATCCCCTTCGAACGGCTACTCACCTCCAGGTACAGCGAACGGGCCTCCACAAAGTGATCCAAGTCAATGAACGATGACACTACGAAACATGTGAAAATCAATATCCAGCCAAATAGTTGCGTGGTTCGCTCGTAGAATTGCATCGAAAAGGCGATGCCGGTGAGGGCGCCGATGGCGGCGTGCGTAGCATTGTCCGCCAGGGCCTTCAGCAGCGGATGCTGCGTAAGCTCCACGAAGTTGTCCCCCAACAGGCACGTTACGGTCACCAAGGTTGTCAGCACAATTCGCATATAGACCATTATGTGGCAGTGGGGCATCGATTTTTGGAGTTGTTTCTGTTGTAGCCGCAGCCGGGAGTCGTTGCTCTACTTTGATTTTGCGTTTTTGGGAGGAGGCTGTTGGACGGATTGAATGGAAGGCTCTGTCTACAAGTATTTTTTCTGGAACATCGATGTTTTTCGATTACATTAGATTTACCTTAAAAGCGTCATAATAATTAATAAATAATAATTAATTAATAATAATAAATAAATAAATAAATGACTATCTGCCTGTCCACTGAGAAACAATATACAGCCTTTTTTCATGTCACTACTCTCCGCCTACCCTCCCCGCTGTGTCAATGGCTACGCTATGGCTGTCCAGAGTTGGCCAAGAGGCTCACCTTTGTGTCATTTGCCCGCGAACGCTTGATGCTGTGACTTCTGCTTTCGATCTAGAGCACCAGCAGCGAATGTACGCACGAGTGCCCGAACGAGGCTGCGGCTCTGACCCGCCGTCTTGATCTATGTGCCCGGTGTTCCAGTCTCTCCAGTACAATCAGTATCTGTCGCTTCTTGCCATCCAGTAGACGCTTCTCGTCTCCTGGTTGAATGTGAGCACGTCAGAGCCAGCGGTTCCCCGCTGCACAGGACTTTCTTTTTGTCCGCCGCGTGTCTGGTGTTTGGCAAGGACCAAGTACAGCAGTCATCAGTCAGCAAACGAAATCGCGTACAAATGCCATTTTATTTTGCCAAGCAGGCCAGCAGTTACCAAAACCGTCCAAAAATCGTGTTTACCTCTTGCCTGGCCCTATTGATTTATTTATCGGATTTATCGATCAAATATACAGTCCGACCCTCAGAAATATACCAAAATATACCATCTCATTTTAAAAATATACCGTAAATATACTGACGAATTTATACATATTCCTCAATTTTGATATTCCGTCGAACATTATTAGCTGGATAGAACGTTTAGCCCCACACACATAATTTCGTTCGATTAATGAATCAATTTTCTACTTGACTGGCTTTTATTGGATTTTGTCTAAAAAAAGGTTTTAGCCAAAAAGGTCAAACTAATAAAACGTAAGAAAACGTAGGTGAGTATAGAATGTAGTGACATTGTTGGGCTGAAAAAGGCGACATTGTAGCGAGGAAAATGGCAATCAGTGAAAAAAAGAGACCAAGTCCCACCAAACTTGAGCGCCAAATCGACATTGTTTGAAAGTGAATGAGCGACAAGGATTTAAATGGAATCCATTGGAGTAATGACTAATTAGCCAAATATATATAGCTTGAAGACAAAGTCTTCAAAAAACACTGCGAGGTGAGGTGCGTACGAGCACTGCAACTTGCCTTGGCTGTTTCTTCCTGTTGTCCATACCACTTTTTATAGCCGATTAAAAATGGCTTTTTCTGTTGTTTTCTTTAGGTTTTGAATTGTTGTTGCTTGTTGTTTCGAACAGCTGCTTTTACCTTTATCCACCAGTCTGGCAGCGCTGTGAGAACCACCGACTGATGAATGGTAGCACATCAGCTGATTGCAGGCGCCAAGCATGTGAAAATTAAACCAGAAATGTTTTGCCAAAATAGAATACATAATCAAGATGCTGGTGCGGTGTATTTGTTATTCACCAAACCAATCAGATTTCCTGCTCTAAAATGAATGCAAGCATGTGTGTGGACATGTGCCAGTGTGTCTGATAGAACGGAATTTTCCATTCCGTTTTGGTTTATTTCCAGAGTAATAAAGTAGTGTGGTATGAGAAAAGCTCTCTCTCTATCTCTCTCTCGCAAGTTTAAAAAGATCATTTTAAAATGATAAGACTATAGCGTGTGTATATATGTATGTAAGTATATTGGTTATTATATCAATCTTTAAAAATTTTAATATCAACAATATTCATTCAATATTCAAGCTTAAAACTCAATATTGAAGGGATAATTCTTGTTCTTAATGGCATGCTCCATGGGAATGAGACGCTCGCCAGTGTTGTACGTGTCCAGGATGGCATGGTCAGCGGCATCCAATTTGAAATCGAAGACCTTGAAGTTCTCCTCAATGCGCTTCGGATTAGAGGACTTGGGCAGCGGCACAGCTCCAATTTCAATCTGTGGAAGGCAAAGAGTCAGAATCAACTGTGACACTGCTGGCTACAACAGTACGTACCAGATAGCGGAGCACCACCTGGGCAGTTGACTTCTTGTACTTGTCCCCAATGGCCTGCACCTTGGCGTCGTAGATGTAGTTGGGCGTCTTCTTGGCCGGATCGGGCCTGCCCAGCGGACAGTAGGCGGTGACCACAATGTCGTGCTGCTTGCACAAGGCAATCAGTTTCTTCTGGTTCAGTGCGGGGTGACATTCGATCTGTCCAGGAGTACATATGTGTTGATGCAAGTGTTATCCAACGCCCAACCGCAATCGACTCACCTGATTGTGGATTGGCTTGATTTTGCAATTGGCCAGCAGGCGCGTCAGCTGCTCGGAATTGAAATTGGAAACGCCGATACTTTTGGTGAGGCCCAGCTCGACCAGCTTTTCCATGGCACGCCAGGTGTCCAGATAATCAATGTCGCTGTAATAAGAAAACTCCAGATAAGTGCCTACCTCTGGACTACATCTGATAACGATATCTCACTTGAGTTCGACCTCGCCCTTGGCATCTGTGGGCATCATTTCGCTGTCGCCGCGGTAGACGTAGGAGTAGGGCCAGTGCATCAGGTACAGGTCCACGTACTCCAGCCCAAAGTTCTGCAGAGTCTTGCGGCAAGCATACTCCACCCTCTTCGGCTCATGGAAGTGGCACCACAGCTAGAGAAAACGTCAGCGTCAGTTTGCATCACTGCACTGCACCCACCATATGCAAAGGATACCTACTTTTGTGGTGATGTGTATGTCCTCGCGCTTGATGACCCCCTCGGCTATCTTCTTGCTGACGGCCGCGCCCACCTCATTCTCGTTCTCATAGAAGAAGGCGGTGTCTATGTGTCGGTAGCCCACATCTATGGCATGCAGCGTAGCCCGCTCGCAATCGCCTCCCAACGACTGCCGGACAATTGGAAAGTAATTTTAAAGTGAGATATACAACAACAACTGTACGCGTCTGGCATTTGAGCCGCCTTTCGACCGATAAGCATAATTATTGCCCTGATCGATAGCGAGACGTGATCCGTTGACGTGGGCTGGGCTGTCGTTTCCACTTACCGTGTAGGTTCCCAGTCCAATTGCTTGGATCTGGGTGCCGTTGTTGTGCTTAACGTACGGGATTTTTCCAGCAGACATTTCGGAAGCAGCGTTAGAATCGGAATGATTGCTTCCACATCTTGCTTTAGAACGAACGTGTTCGTGCTTAAGTTGAAAAAGTTTTGGCGAAAGCTCTTGGGCTTTCAAAAGCACCAGGTAGCTTTGAATAAGCTTTTTAACGGCTATTAAAGAACTGTCTCATTATATTTTCAACAGGTATGCTTTTACAGCGACTCGCCATACGATTATCGCAATTCGGATTTCTGCAAATTTAAGTAAAAGTAAGTATGTAAGTGTTTTTTCACTAAAATTTACAATTTACAATTTAATGTAAAATCGTGTGGCCTTAACTTCTGAAATTGCAGAGTTCGTAGCGACGGCTATATCTCAGCTTTTGATACGCAGGACTCCTCGGAAACGCTTTCTTCTGCCTGTTAGATATGTACATCCAAAGGAACATAATGTCTCCATTTACCCTACGAATACCGCATAGAAAGAAGCTTACCACATGAACTAGCTTCAATCATAAGCTTCTGTTCTGTCGCTGGGGCGCATGATTGAGCTTTAGCTGCGGAAACGGAACGAATGGAAGTGGTACAACATCTGTTATTCAAAGAGGCACAATTTAGTAGACCTTGCAACCGTCGCGGCCGAGACTGAAGGAATTTTTGTATTGTCTGGTGAGTTTTTCGCGTTTTCTTTGAAGAATTCGAAGCTTAGCTTAATAGAGTGTTGATAAAGTGTGGGTTAAATGTGACTTTTGTGAGATTGGTGGCACCTAAAACCCTTCGAATTGCTTTGCAGAAGGAAAAGTCTGCTAAGGATAAAACGGCATCTGGGATATCTATAAATACCCCGAAGGTAAATAGACCAAGTCACGCCAGGTAGATAGACAGCCAGCCCTTGTCTCCAAGTGCATGCCGAGTCCTCATTTTGGCTTGGTCTGGTTGTGTCTGAGAGCAGTGCAAGTCTAGGGCAGAGCTGAAAATTAATGTATTGTAATTTCAGTATACGCATCACGCCTACAACTGCGCATGCCCCAGCCCCCGTCGGAGTCTCAACCCAGTCGAGGCCGAGACGCAGCAGAAGCAAAAGCAGAAGCTGAAGAAGAGACAGCAGCAGGTGACAGCAACAGTGACACCTTGTGAAACCTCAAGGCTGCCAGTGGAGGCCACTCGGATTGCTCCGTTTGCTGGGAATGGCCGCCGTGGTTCATGGCTGCAGCAGTCCGCGACAGCGCTCCTGCAATGGCAGTAGCTCGCCGGGCGCCCATCACGGGTCCACGCCCTCGTCGGGGCCTGCTATGTACACCACCATGCCTAAGTATTCGCGGACGGCCAGCCAGACGCTTTACGCGACCAGCCAGCAGATATTTGGCAGCGGCATGGGTGTAAGCATGCCCAGCGACGGTGCGTATGGCAACGGGCCGATCTACATGTCATCCGGTCAGCGTCCGCTGTCAGCATCTGCTCTGCCGGAGACGGCAGCGGCGAGTCGGAGCTATTGGGGCCATCATGCCGCCTTCTACCACGGCGGCAGGCACTACAGCAAGCGCAAGTCTGCGGTGGAACTGTTGGCCGAGTCCAAGCCGTTCTACATCAAGTCGGATGCGGTTTTCGAGCGGCTGCAGCAGTCGGGCTATCGGAACGGTGGCAACAATGGAGCCGGCTCTAAGCGGGGTCGACGCCCGGAGGAGGCACACGGTGGCCATGCCGGTCACGGCCATGGCGGCAGCGGTCACTACAACTCCCAGGGTTACGATGATCTGGAGGATCGCCGCTACATGAGCTTGTCCCGACAGCAGCAGCACCAGCAGCAGCAGCTCCAGCAGGCCCAGCAGTACATGCACAACCATCATCCGCATCAGCACCACCAGCATCGGCACGGACACGGTCATGGCCAAGCCCAAGGTCGTGCTGGGGGCGCCGCTGTCAACAACAATCTGCTGCAGCAGAAGTTGCGCATGTTGCTCGGCTCGGAGGCCGTCAAGGAGAGGAATGGCGGTACCTTGCGGCGCCACGAACTGAACGACGGCAGTTCCGAACTGCTGCCTACAGACTATGGGGAGGACGAGGGGGGAGCCGGCCCAGGTGGAGCCCTGAGGATCCCCCCACCCCTCTACATGCCATCGCATGGTTATGGAAGGGACTCCTCCGCCTACAACAGCGGCGGCGAGGAGCCGCTCGTGCTAACCGAGAACTACAGACCAATCAGTCCGCCGGCCGAGTATGCCGCCAAGTCGGGACAGGCCAACAATGATCGCTACAGGTGAGTCGTCAGCCATCATATATATTGAATTGGGATTGAGATCTGCTCTCTTCTCAGGTACAACTACCAGCGTTCCTACTCGCACTCGCACGAGGTGCCCCATGCGCCGGAGGAGCGGACTCCGTACGCTGGCGGGGACTTCAACATCAACAGCCACAAGTCACTGCCGGATCTGCACACCCAGATCAGTCGGCACTCGCCGCACAGCGAGATCCTGAGCTGCTGCAGCCGCGGCAACCGCTCCATCAAGTCTGCCGGCGAGTCCTCCATTAATCGCGATTCAGGAGGCAGTTCCGGCCACTACACGCACCGCAGCGAGCCCTGCTACAAGCGCGAGCGGCAGCGGGAGCCCAATGTGGGCACAGCGAGTGGCACCATCAAGAACTGCTGCACCCTGGTGGCGGCCACGAGACGGGATAGCGGCTCCTCGACCCAGCACAGTGCAAACTCCTACTGCGGATATGTGACGCCGGGCGCGGACTATCCGTCGCTGAACGGGCGCAATACCGACTGCATCGACTGTCGTTGCAAGCAGGATACGGCTGCTTTGAGCGGCTATGACAATGCGGCGGCCTCTGACTATTTGCTCAACTTCACGCCTACGCCAGAGGTGCCGGAGGCCTTCCAGGATGACTACACGCCCACGCCACCGTCACCAAGGATGAAGACGCAGACGCCACGGTACTCGAGCTCCTCCAGCCAGCAGCTGCACACTAGCTCGCAGGGCTACACGAGCATCAATCACTCGCAGAGCTCCTTGGTGCAGAGTCCCGGGTCGGCACCCTCCGTGGACGACATTAGTCCACCGCCCATACAGTTCAAGCGGCAGCGCTGCATCCGCTTCAAGAACCGCAACCGACTGCCGGTGCAGCCCCAGCCGCGTACATCGCCCATCAACAGCAGCGGCGTGGAGATGGGAGGTGGTGGAGGACCTAGTGCCGGTGTATTGGCTGCCTACAAGCAGCACCGGGGAAGCGTGGATCACGACAATGTGTTCTTCCCCAAAGGTTTCTCGGCAGATGCCAGCTATGCCAGCGCTCACAGCATGGAGATGGAGCGTGAGGCTCTGAATGCCAGCATCTCGGAGCTGGAGAAGTTCTTCGATCGGCTCGGTCTCAATGACGAGGCCTTCCACGAGATCTATAGCCAGCCGCGCAGGCAGCACAATCCGGAGACCGACTCCGACGACTCCAGCACGGTGTTTTTTTCGGACGTGAGCACCGTGGACTCGATGCGACTGCCCGACAGCACCGAGACCCAGCCGCAGACCACACAGACCTATCGCCCCTCGGAACCGCCCTCGATCGTGGAGCGGAACGCGCGGATCATCAAATGGCTATGCAACTGCAAGAAGGTGGCCGCCCATCTGCACTGATAGAAGAGCACTTTCAAGATTGATTCTTAGCGAGTATTTTGTCTCTTGCAAGTACCCCGATACAACCGCATACAATATATACACAACTATATAGTAATATATACTAAAATAATGCATATATCAATATGTGTATATGTATACACGGCTCAAAAGTGAAGTCAAGTTCAAGTTCAAGTGTAATAGCATGATTAGAATCACCTACCTGTACAACGGAAACGGAAATAGAAACGTAAACGGAATTCAGAGTTCAGAGTTCAGAATTAAGAGTTACGATTATGGATGTGCGTTTCTCCTCCTTCGCTGCATCAATTGCAGATCAATTACACCATTGATATTCATATTTAAATTTATATTGACATTGATATTGATATTGATACTGATAAAGATATTGATATTTATATTGACATTGTACTACTACTCGTAATCAAATAGCAACCGATCGTTCATATTACTCTTATACACAATGGTATTATTAGATGAATTATTGTACAATTAGTTATTGTAATGTGCATGTGTATACATGCCATATATATTGTATAACTAGTTGCCAAACAAACCACAAAAAACCACACAGAACAATTGAAATTGAAATTGAAATGAACCTACCTATTTATGTAATTGTACATGGTTTGCATTACGAATAAATAAAATATTTATGATTATCAAATTAATTGAAATATATAGAAAATCAATTAAACTTGCCTGTGTCTTATTTTGTTGGGTTTTGATTTCTGATTGGAATATTGTCTTAGCTGTAGCAATGGCTGCGTAGAGATCATCAAATTTGTCGTTTGGCGGTCGTGCTTGACAGTGCTTTCGGCGACCGTGATTCTGTTCAAATAATCGGGGACTTCAGTAAGGATGAAGTTGAGATTACTGGCGGTACTGTCATCCCCTTCAAGGATCCTTGGACTATGACAAGATTTGAAATAATATCTACGACAGGGACACGGCCAATGCCGTGATAAGGAGCATTGGTCGCCAACGAGGACTTCATCAAGCCCAAGGATCTGGTGGAAGATCCTATGCCGCCTTCGCCTTCGTCTTCGTATTTATCAGAACCAGACTGCTTTATGGCCAGTAGATTAAGTAGATTTAGCAAATGTTCTTCATTAATATCGTTCAGCCGAAGAGTATTCACCAAAAATAAATGTATTGTATACGAGTATTAACTAAAGCAAAAACCCTTTTATTTTTTCTGTAGTCATTCTTGAGTCATTCAGATATAGGTCGTGAAACCAATGTTGTATTGATAGCTCCAACAATGGTTCTCTGTCGCGAGTGTATCTGTCGCATGTGGGTCATCGAAACACCTGTGGGATGGGACTGTGGGATGTCGACTACTACTATATAATGGGCTGGCAGGCATGGCATCGATATCAGTGGATAGTTCCTATTCGTTCCTGTATAAGCTGATATGAGGAAATTCCTGCTTTCCTTGGCTGTCCTGGGCTTCATCGCCCTGGCATCGGCTCACACGGTAAGTGAAATCTGTCGAACAACAGAACGCAGCGTTATCTTCGAACCAGTAATATCTGAATAATTAGAATCCCTGGGAGCAGCCTTCGGCTCCAATCCAGAAGGTACCAGTTCCTGTACCTGTACCTGTGCCTGTACCAGTTCCTGTTCCCGTACAAACTCCGGAACATGGTAGTGGAGGTGGCGGTGGCGGTGGCGGAGGTGGTGTCGGAGGCGGTGGTGTCGGAGGCGGTGGTGGTGGTGGTGGCGGAGGCACTTGCCCCAAGCCATCTCCTGAAACTCTACGGGTAAGTGCAGATTAACCCAATCCATTGGTGAATCGAGCTTAAATCGAGTTTGCTGTGGGCATTTCTAGTGCCTCCGAGAGTGGGCCTGTCAGTACGTCATTCGGCTGGATCTGCGGTAAGTGGTAACATCCGTTCTGCCGCCAGTCCCTGGCTAGTGGCATTCGCTCATGTACTATACGTTGCAATGCTTTGACAGCTGCCTCCTCAACTTGAATGGAAACCCCTTGCTGGGCAATCTCATTTCCCTGCCCGGACTCACCGGCGGCGGCACCGGAGGCGGCACCGGTGGCGGCATATTGGGCAGTTTGCTGGGTTGATACCACAAGCAGCTGGAAATGTGTGCACATTATACCCAATAAAGTGGAACCCAGCTCAGTCGGACGACCCCCGAGTATCATTGGGAGTTGTGGGTGTTTGGGGTATTGCGAGTGGGTTTGGGATTGGGATTGGAATTGGGATTGGAATTGGAGCTCCTGTTAATGGCCAGCCAATAATCCTTAGTATTGGCATTGGTGTAAAAATGGCGATAATCGTTCACATAATCGTTAACTCGATTATTGTTTAAGCGCTCGTTTGAGCAGCATCGCAATTAAGCGAGCAATTTTCAAATTAGCCAGGATGGGGATGGAACGGTCCCCTGTCCTGTTCTGTCCTGTCCTGTCCTGTCCTCTTTCTGTCTATTTTCTGCAATTGAACTCTTGGCCTTTAACCGAAGGCGAGGCAGCCGAGACCACCGACTCTAGTGGTCTTTAAAGTATTGGCAGCGAGCGAGCAGCTTGTAGGTGGAGCTTGCTGGCGTTCGAATAAAGTCGCAAATCATTGAAGCATATGCAATTATTCATTTTGAGGTTGAATGCGCTCGAACGCACACAATGATACAAGCACACGGACCTGGCATCCTTCTGTCCTTCTGTCCGTCCTTTAACCGTCTTTCTCTTTATGTCGGTGTACGTGTACGTGTACGTGTACGTCTGCGTATATGTGTGTCCGTATCCTTACTTGTGCGTGTGTGTGTCTGTGTGGGAGTGCAGCAAGCGCAAAGGAAAATTTAAATTCAGCAGCAGTTCCTTAAACGAGGATGCCCCATAAAACTCGCTTTTACTACGCATAGTTTCCATCGTTTTTTTCTGCTGCTCTTCTTTTTCCATTTCGCTTCCATTTTGGTTTTAATGCCCCCTTGATTGCAGCCCTCGTTGGGGTCTCTTTTGCGCTGATTTCGTCTGAAGATAGTCCGCTCCGGAGTGCTCCGGACTGCTCCAGACTGCTCCGGACTCCTCCGGACTGCTGGGGCAGCTCCATCTTGGTTAATCCATCACTTGCATCCACAGCTCAATAGTCTGGGTGCTCCCATTTCCGTTGCCCTTTTATAATTAACTTTATGTGTATGTATTTAGTTTTATTGCTCGTTAGACAGCCTCCGCGCCGACACAGAGACAATGAAACAACAATTTGTGATCGCCCCCAATCACCCAGTCCGCCTCGTAACCAGCCCCTAGCACCAAACCAACCCATCTGCCCCCCATCCTCCCATCTTCCAGCTACCACATCTGCGGGGACACGGAGACAGAGACGGAGACCGCAACGTGTGTAGGCCATTTTGGAGTTTTACTTTGCCATCGTCATTGCCACACAGCCGTTGCCATTATATTAATTACAAACGTTTGCGCCACAGCTCCCAGCATCTAGCATCCAGCATCCAGCATCCAGCATCCACTTCCTGTCCGCTCCTGTCCGCTCCTGTCCATTGGGCCCCCGTCTGACCCTGTCCGCTCCCTAATGGGCCCAACAAGTAAATCACACACAAAGCTCTAAGGCGATTTCGGCGACGGAATTGGAGACGGAGGCGAAGGGACCGAAATAATTTCCATTGAATGTGTGAAACTTGTGCAGCTCTTAACGAGCTTGGGACTCGACTCGACTTCGAGTCGGAAATTCATTTAAACACGGCACCCACACTGGGAGGGAATAGTGCTGAAAACCTCGGCACAAACTCTGCCAGAAGCTCAGATGCAGATTCTCTATATAGTAAACATATCAACGGACTTACTTCGATTCTGGATCCATCTAGGATTGAAAGATGTTTTCTCATTATGCGTCCACTTTTGTCAGAGTATTTGTTCAGCTTTCTTGGCACTGCTTTCGGCACTAGGCCTAGAACTTCGCCTTGTCTATGGGGTTTTATTTGATGGAATTAACTTGTAAACTAAAGAAGTTTAGCAACAATTTTGTATTTATTCAATTGCATTACTCCATTGCCGGTTCCGTTGCTTTGATGGTCTTAAAGCTGGCTATATCCGACTCTGTGGTGCTCCTCTCATTGGAAGGCGCAAGTGTTGTGGATGGGGCTTCACCGCTTGCTGGGCGTGAAGTTTCCGCTTCGGGGATCTCGGTGACCAGGCTCTGAGTGGAGGGTTTTAGGCCGTCATTGAGTAAATCATGATAAAGAGGTATGGTTGTATCTTACCTCGGCCACGAGTGCCTTGGACTGACCCTCCTTAAAGGCCTCGGCCAGACCGGGATGGATTTCGCTCAAAGGTTCATTACCGTGGCGAATGTAGACGGGCACATGACCTTTGCGGGGCTCCAGCTCCTGATAGGGCGCCGCTACGAAAAATTTAATTACAATTAAATTACACATTAAATTATTTCGCTTTTGCCTGTCGCTGTTGCTGGTCTTTTTATCAGTTGGCTAATCTCTTGCCTTGGCTATGACATACACCCGGAAGCCTTGAATCACGGCAAAGCGTAATTATGACTAACGAGCCGAGAGCTCTGTGGGGTCTCAGCAAACCTAAGAGTGTTACCCGATCCCTGCGCAAACTACGCCCCTGAGCCACAGCCGATTCTTACGCTTTCTGGGGGGGACGGTAAGTCATCGAAAACCTGTTTCGACTCGCCCCACAAACAATAGAAATGTGATTCTCAAAACAGATGTCCCATAAATCTGTTTAATCACATTTAGTGCTAATATATTGTCCAAATGCATTGAGCTTGCGTTTACTTACCCTGAATGAAACTGCAGAGGGCCAGCAGTAGCAGTGCGACAGCTGCAGCGATATGGGTGTTCTTGGCCATGGCTAGCTTTTGTTGACTCTTTGCGGCTGTGTATTTGGCATGCGATCAACGTGACTCCAGACTCTCGACTCAAGATAGATCGGTCAGCAGCTGGGCTTAAATCCGACTCGACTCCAGCCGCAATCAACTTTTGCTTGGCAAATTACTCATGGGTAGCATCAGCAGAGGCAGCTAAAGCTTCAGGGGCAGCATCAGAATCGTGGGAACAGAGTGAGCAGAGTGAGAGTGAGAGGCAGCGTGAGAGGCAGAGGCAGAGGCAGAGTCAGAGTAAGAGCCAGAATGATGATGGCTCCGATGATGGCTGGTAATGAAGCTGTCGGCGGTGGCGGCGAACTTTTCAAGCTGTGGCGGGGCATAAAAAGCTTTTGGAGCAGCGGCAATTGCCAGGTTCCGTGGGGTGAGCGGGGCCGGGCGTGGGGGCGTGGGCGTGGGCGTGGGTTCTAACCTAACATTTAGTGGCCTGCGGCGTTCCACCACCCTTGCAACTTCTGCCACTTCCTTTGCTGCTGCTCTCCAAATTCAAACATGCTTTTTTTTCTTGTTTCAAATTAATTGGGTCGTTAGAGAAGCCATTTGCGACGGCTCGTCTTTTTTTCACTCCCCACCCCACGCATCTCTCTCTCGCTCGCTGGAATTGTTTGCCCACTTTCGTTTTTGTTGAGTATTCAAATCGAGAAATTGCTGACATCTGTAGATGAATGCCGCGGGTGGGTGCACCGTCAGAATGCGGCATATAACGAGGAAGTACGAGCACGAGTGTACCAGTACATCTATGTATCTGACTACGATTACTTGCTACTATTGAATGCAAGTGGCGGGGAGCCTTGGCAGGGAAACGGAAATGGGTTTGGGAATGGGTATTGGGTATGGGTACGAGTAGAGCAGGCCTGAACTTGTTTGCCTGCTTCGATTGTTCCGTTTGGAGCGCGTCCTTGATACAGTTCCATTTTGATTTTGGGATTTTGTGCGAGTGCGAGGGTGAGGGCGAGGGCGAGTGCGAGTACATGTAAGGGCAGGGCCCTACAACAGCGGATTCAACAGCGAATCAAATTGTTGAGCAAATATTCAACAGAGTAAATATGTTTATGCCGAATCAAGCAATTTCATTTAAACACACTCCACATGCCCAGGCACTTGTCTGTGAATACTCGTACGAGCACGACTCTATCTGTATGTACTTGGCCCCCATACAAATTTCGATAATGTATTGTATGTATTGTAGGTGCCCCAACTGCTGACGGCGGATTGTTGACTAAGCTTCATATTTGCCTGTGCCTGTGTGCCTGTGTGTCTGTGTGCCTGTGTGCCCCATTCTGCCTGAGCCCCAATCGAATTAAAGCAGCGATGCATAGTTTATTAGTTGTGGAGTAACTTGCCCCCAAAACAACGAGTGGCCGCCACTCGGCCGAGGGCGGAAAGTGTAAAACATTTGTCGATGGCAGCATTTAAGTGCACTTTTACCGACCAATTTTAGGCAACTATCGCGTTTAATCCCAATTGAGTTGATTGAATCCATCAGGAATGGTCAATCGTAGAGCAGAGTGGACTCTGCCCCGATAATAATGGGATCCCGTTCCATCTGAGTTGGCCAATAGTAGAAATAAGACCAGGAAAGCTGGTTAGGATTCAGTGCAGGCCTGAATACACATACATGTACGTACACATAATGAAAATCCACTAAAAATACTTACTTTATTTCGTATTTCAAATTCCAAAAAGAGGGAAGGAAAAAAAAAAATCTTGCAATCGCTCTGTTTTCTCTGTCGTTTATTTAATATTTATATGTATATTATGTATGTTTATTTCCGAGGCTCTAAAAATAGTTACATGGCTGCACTAGTGTGTGGGTGTAGCTTTTATAACTATGTATCTAATTTATATACCATCTTCAATAGTATATCCGTGTCGTGTCATACATTTCTTGTTTGTTTGGTTTGAATCTTTTGGGGACTCTGGGTGTGGTTTTTTTTTTACTCGTGTGGCGTTTATTCTTTGTCATATGCGTACTCCCGTATATCTTTCCATAGTGGAATCCGTGATTCTTTCGCTTCGCTTCGCTTCGTTTCTTTTCGTTTCGTATCGTATCGTTTCGCTTTGTTATTCTTGTGTATATTAATTTAAGAGTGGATAAGCTTTCTTTGGGATATAATAGGTTATATACGCTACATATTAGCCATAAAATCGTATGGTTATGCATGTCGGTTAGTGTTTTGTTTAAACTGTGTTCAGAGAGTCTGTGTCAGTGTCTAGGGGGTGGGTGTAGGTGTCAGTGTCTGTGTGGGTGTGGGTGTAACTGTTTAGGTATAGGTTTAGGTATAGGTATAGGTTTTACAAGTAAGTATAGCGAGCATTGTTGGCTAGTCCCGGTTCATCTAGGTAAAGTCGATTATTTAACTCCTACGAAAGCTGAAACTATTTAATGCTTGCTGGCTGCTGGCTGCTTTCCCTAACTAAAAGTAGAACAAGAACAAATGCTAAGTATCAAAAGGAAAAACTGTGGATGCGTGCAACGCGTTAAAGTCGCTGCCCCATGGGTTGTGTGTTCTCGTGTGAGTGTGTGTGTGTTCGTATCTGGCATGCATTCTATATATGTATGTATTACTATATACGAGTATTCCTGTACGACAGGGCGATCGATATGCTCGCACCTGCCAAGTGGTCATTGGGTACAATATCATTGAATTGATCTCGAGTTACTGATACTTGAGGGATTCCTATGGGGATTCGATTCGGTTTATGTTAAGTTTATGGTTCGCTGTAAGCATATACAATATATATATATACTATAAATAAGTTAAGTACTATATATACGTTTCGTGTATACAATATATGTGTATGTATGGTATGTATGTATGTATGTATATATATTTTAATGAAGTATACAATATATTGCAATTTTAAATGTATATATAACTGTTCAAGTCTTTTTGCATCTCTAATATATGAATATATAAATTAATATCTTTACGTTATTCTTTCGCTTCACTTTTCTTCTTTTTCACTTCACTTCACTTCTCGTCTCTCCTCAGTGTTGTCTGTCATTTTATAAAATATCTCTCCCCTACCATCTTCCTGTGGTTCGATTAGCTTCCCTTTATTGTATAATAATCCGAATTGAATTGGTGTCTTTGATCTTGAAATTATTCACTTGTGTGAGTGTGTGTGTGTGTGTGTGTGTGTCAGTGTTTTGTGTGCTTTTGGGGGTATCTAAATGAATATTGCAGGAGTGTCAGGGGTATGTGGGGGCATCTAGGGTTTTAGGGGTTCAACTTGCCGCATTTACAAAAAAAAAAAAAAAAACAAAGTTTCGGTGTAAAAATACTTTTGTTTCTCCTCGTCATCGTACACATTTTTTTGTTGTTTTTTGTGAGTTTTTCTCATTTGTTTGTTTCTTGTTTTGTGGTGTATAATGTGTATAAATAAATCTTACTCATAAATAAATCAATTAAACGCTTGCCTCAATATATAATCTATATATACTCGTAATTATTTCATATATATATTTTGAATGTAAAATTGCAAATCACATAATTGTTACCACTACTGTTCAATGGAATTTCTTATACTTTTTTTGGTTTTTTATTTTGGTTTTTGTTGTTTTGGTTTGCTTATGTGTATATAGGCATTTAATGCTATTTAAAACGCTATCAATAATCATCAATAAAGCCATGCATAAACACGATCTCTAACTATGGCCCTATAAACAATGCACATAGCACTCTCTGGTCTAAATCTAATGCTCCTCCGATTTTACGCGGCTGTGTAGACTGTGACATACGACATGCGACATGCTACTTTCGACATGCACGTATGTAGATACGATGTAATAATCATTTTCCTTCAAGTTTTTTTTTCTTCTATTTATAAACTGGAGGTGTCCTGTCAGTGTGTGTGTGTGTGTGTTTGTATGTGTACTCAGAGTTTGTGTGTGTGTGTGTGCCTGTCCATGTATTTCTGAAGTTGTTTTATTTGTGTGGGCTTGGATTTATAATTAATGTTTTCTTGCTCGTTGTATAATTAAGTTCGAATGGTTTTCAATATTTTGTTGCTATTCTGCCTTTACTATTATTAATTTTCGATATAAAACTGCCTCTTTTTTAAATATATTTTTTTTATATATATGTATGTATATATATGTGTATATATATGCTTTAAAAAATAACGTCTATCGCGTCCGCTTCATTCTTCGTTTCTTAAATTAAGAAATAATTTTAATTGACAATTTAATGAAATTGTTTACATGGGCTTTTTGTTTTTGGTTTTGGTTTCGGTCTGTTGCCCATTTTCCTTTTTTGGTTTCAGAATAAAATCTACGCGTAAAATAAATACATGTTTTTGTGTATATATCAATACTTCTCGATTTTGTTATAGAATTACAAATTTGTTTTGTTTTTTTTTTTTCTTATTTTTTGGTTTCCTTATGTTTTACTCATTAAAAACTATGTCACTTAACTTTGGAATTGCTTTTAGTTATCATTTGTTTTACAAGTGCGTCTTCTACTTCTATCATCATCATAATCATCATAATCATCGCTATCTCGACCTGGCCTCGACTGCCCAAAACTTGTGAGGGCTATCTCGCTATCCCCATGGATATCCCTTGCGATTGGGGGAGGATTGTTCTTGTCTATAAGAAACCTTTGGCTGGGCCAAAGTTGGGGTTGCCTTTGCGCGGGGACTGGGAAGGGGGGGGCGGGGACTGGGAGTTTTGTATAAAATTGTTAATATATTCTTGCATGTATATACACGAGTTGGTTCTAATTCTAGTAATAAAATAACTATTCCGTAAGTACTTTGTTGCTGCTGTGTATGAGAATGCCTTAATGGGGGTTGCTCCTTTCATAATCTTCTTTTCTTTGCTTTTCTTTTCGTTTTTTTTTTGCATTTTTGTATTTATGTATATTATATTTTGAATGTACTTGTTTTTAGTTATGTTTAAGTATTGTCCTTGTGATATGTTTCTAAATTGTTTTCTCATTAATTTTAATCATTTCTAAGTAATTGAAGTAGTTTTTGTTTATCGAGTTAGAGCATAATATGGAAGTAATACCCATCTTAAACTGGGTTAGAGTGTAAAGTTGCCTTAGCCGTTTTAAAATGGTTCTTCTTTGCCTTGTCTTAGCCTTCGTCCGCCTACATCTTGCTGAGAGTATATCCAATTTCCAATCGCTAATCTTGATCGTTGAGTACAATATTTAAAAAGAGCCTAAGAGCGAGAGAGATATAGGGAGTTACAGGAAGTGCTATAAGTTCACTAATTGATTAGTTTTCTAGACTTGAAGTGAGCCGTCCATCTGTTCATTTGTTCATTTGTTCATCTGTCTATCTGTCTATCTGTCCATATGTCCTCCTCGAATGGCGTGTGGGGGTGTGGTTGGAGAGAGAGTTCTCTTTGAATACAGACTAATACTCGTAATACTCGTACATCTAGTTATGTATGGATGCGGTAAGGGTGTGTATATAAACTCTAGAGCCCTAAAACGATGCCTTAAAGTAGATATTACCAAAAACATGCAAATTGGTTCTGCTCGCTATGTATTATACTCGTAGTTCATATAGATCATATGTATGTATATGTATATATATATAATTTGCCCTTTCTCCTTTCCTCCCTTCCATTCTGTATATATGCTTATTTGATCTGTGTATATATAGAATTTCTACTTATGTTCCATAATATTCGTTGTGTCAGATTTTTACTATAAGTTACGTTTTGGATTTCTTTCTTAAACCTTTTGTTTTTTCCTTTTTGTTTCCGTTTGTTTGTTCTCTCATCTCTCATCCCTTGTCTCTCTTCCGTTTTGCTCTCTTTTGTCTTTTGTCGGTGTTGCTTTTGGTTTTGTTGGTTGTTTCAATTGCAATTCAGTAAAAGTTACAACTTGGAAAGACTCCTCCGTGTTCTCTTTCTCGCTCGTCCCGCTATACTAGTAGCCCGGAAAAGGTCAGATAATAAGTAAGTAGATATATATGTATATGTATATAACTGTTGAAAAAAATTCTATTGAGTTGAGATCTTTCTTCTATCTTCCATCTTCTATCTTTCGTCCTTCGTCCTTCGTCTTCCGTCTACCGTCCGAACTACTCTGCTAGTAAGCTGCTAGTTGACCGATTTGAATTATAACCTTCGATTACTTCTTCCTTTTTGGTTTTTATCGTTTTTAATTTGATAAGGGTGCTCGAATATTGCTTATAGGGTTCTGGTATAAAGTATCTAATATTAAGGTAAACGAGGAGTACTGTGGCAGACTTCGGCGGCTGCCTAGGTCACCACAATATCCTGTGACTAGTCTCATCACTGTCTATCTCCATCTCCATCTCCATCTACACTTCGATCGCATCGCCGCATCGAGATCCACCTAAGCCACCTCAATATCCTGACTAGTCTCATCACTGTCCATCTCATCGCCGTCGAACTCGTCCTGATCGTGCTCAAGCTTTCCCATCATCTCATCGTCGTCGTCCAAGTCGCAATCGTAGTCGTCGCCCTTGCCCTGCCCTATGGCTCCCGCATCCCTGAGGCAGGCCGACTCCAGGTGCTTGTTCAGATACGACTTGAGCGCGAACGTCTTGTTGCAGCGGTGGCACTTGAAGTTCTTGTCGCCAGAGTGCGTCTGCATGTGAGCGCGGAGGTTGGAGCGGTCCGCGAAGGCCTTGCCGCAATGGACACAGGCATAGGGCTTCTCGCCGGTGTGGGAGCGCAGATGGCCTTGGAGCAGCCAGGGGCGCGAGAAGAGCTTGCCGCAGATGTCGCAGCTGTGCGAGAGTTTGTGCGTTAGTAGGTGCATGGCCAGGGCCGGCATGGACACGTAGGCCTTGCCGCAGGTATTGCACTTCTTGGCCGACTGCGAGTCCAGGGAGCGGTGCGTCTGCTTGTGGCGCGACAGGTTGCTGGAGGTGGCGTACTGCTTGCCACACTCGGAGCACTTGTAGCATCCGCGCTTTCGCTTGGCGTAGTTCTCCCCATTGCCACTGGGTCCGGCTCCGGCTGCAGCTGCGGCACCGGCCACAGCCGCTGCACGTCCGTCTGCGACACCGCTTCCTGCGCCCCCTGAGGCGTTGCTGCTGGAGCTCTTTGGACGCTGGTGCAGCTGCTCCCGGTCCTTGCCAGCCGCTGCCTTGCTGGCCTTGGTGCGCCCGTCCATCATGTTTAGGCACATCTTCAGGGTCGAGGCCCGCTGCTGCTGCGGCGGCTGGTGCGGCTGCTTGCCCCAGTGCATCTGGCCGGATTCGGACGAGGAAGACATGTCAATGTCCACATCCGAGCTGTGATCGGAGTTGGGCGGCGTCAGTGGCGAGCAGTTGTTCGAGGCCTCGGGCGTGCCGTTCATCATGTCGTACGAACTGCTGCCGATGAACCGGATGTTCGACTGCGACTTGTTGGAAGCGTTCGAGATCTCCTGCATAATCGGCAAGTGCTCCGCCGACGACTTGAGGTGCTCCTGCTCCTGCTTCATGATAGTCACCACGCAGGGCGGTATGAGCGGTGGCAGGCTCTGGGACAGCGACAACAGATCGTGGGCGGCCTCCGTCTCTTCTGCGCTGCGTCCGCGGTAGATCGATGTGGCCGGAGCCGCTGCGGAGGCATTTGCGGCCACTTGTTGCTCGCGCTGGCGCTTCACGGACATCGGCTCCGGCTGACGGGCAGCCCCGCAGGCACTGGCTGGCGGTGCATAGAAGATCACCTTTCCGTCCTCGGCCGGGGCCCGCCCGGCGGCCACTGGACGGCGCACCGACACTGTGGATTATGGAAAGTTTGTTATTGCAGCAGGCCGCACCGTAAATTTACCGAACATCGCAACCAACAATCCAAGGGATCACTTTGGGACTTCTTCAATGCCATAGATGCTCCAGAAAAGATATTTAAAGGAATTTGGGGCTGGGCAGCACGATGCACAAAACAGGTTATACGGAGAAAGGCTTTTTTCCGAGAAATGGCATGACATTTCATTGGCTGCTTCCGGCCTGACAGTTAACACTCAGTGTTGGGAAAAGAATTTCTCAACACTAAATTGCACTTAATTGATTGCCCATGATGTAATTATACAAGGTGGTCTCGTCGGGAGCCGAAGCTCGTTCGTGTTGTCCCTTATCGTCAGTGCTTTTTTGCTTGAAAGGTTGTTCGCGGTCGAATTTTTGTATAAAGCTTTAACCCTTACGAGCCACCAACAAAAAATGACGTATTGCACTTTTTGCCGAATTCATGTTCCGGGAGTAAAATTTATTCATGTTCCGAAATGTGCATTGAAGCGGAAGTTGTGGGAGCAAAGCCTCGGGTGCAGCCTTGGCGCTAATTCTAAAATTTGCGATAGTCACTTCAACTATTTTAAAATTAGAATTTATTTTCGAGTTAAGAACCTTAACAAAAAAATATGCATGCAAAGTCAGAAGCAACGTTTGCTTGCAAATTCAAAATTGTTATAGTAGGACATTTTAAACCCCACGGGCCTGTTAAGGGTTAATCAGCATCGACATATGCCGTCTCACTCACACTCACTATACTATGTGCCTTTCATTCGCACGTTAAGGGACTGACTTTTGCCGACGAGACCACCTTTGTATAATTGCATCATGATTGAGCCAAACAAAACAATGTTAAAGGTTCTAATTGCCAAGTTTTAGGGCGACATGGAATCAATGGAATACGAAGAAATGGTGAATCTCTCTCTGTCCCTCATCAGATTTCTTCTGTGCGTGTGCGTGTGCGTGTGCGTGTGCGTGTGCGTGTGCGTGTCTTGTGCAAAACGTGAAGAAGAATATAAAGAAGAATAGTGGTACACACAAGGCATCATATCATAGTGAATGAATTGGTAAAGCACATCGTATGTATGGCTTTGAGTATAAAGACAGAGACCCTACGCTGATCAGCCATGTCATCCCCACGTGTATGTATGTGCGCACATAAATAACTGCACATTTTGGTATTTTATGAGCCCACTGACGCTGACGCAATATTTTCACATTACGCTGCGGATGCGGCAGCGGTTGACCTGTTACGTTTACAGTTTCTCAATCGATAAGACGACGACGCGACCTCTTCTAGCCGCCCTCCTTCACCCACTCCCACTCCCTTCCCCCTCCCCAGTACTGGCAGTCAATGCCGACGCTTGTTCGCTTTCGTGTTTGCATTTGCTTCTTCTTTTTCTTCTGTTCTCCTTCTTCTTCTTCTTGGCTTTGCCTTTGTCAAGAGCAACAAGCAGCAGCAGCGGCAGCAACTACACATCGACAAGTAGGCAAAGGCGAAGGCAGAAGGCAGAAGGCAGAAGGAAGAAGGGTGGGGAAAGAGAAGACGGCAAGAGAGGGGGCAAAAGCGAACGCAAACATGGAAAATGCCAACATACGCTAAAAAGATTAGCTAACGGCGACAATGTCAAACACGAGCGCATATCGAAAGGGGAGCTGGGGGTGAAGGGGAAAAGGGAATAGGGCATAGGGCACCAGGCACCGGGCACAGTGAAGGACGAGGAGGAGCGTCGGCCAGTGGCCAAAGTGGGGGGTCATAAAATGGTCGAAAGTGCTTCTTGGTTGGGGCCCAGTGTGAGCCAGAGCGAGAGAGGGAGTGAGGCAAAACCTGGCTACTAAAAAAAATACGAGTACACAAATTGTCGCAGCCACCTGTTCACATTGTTGTGACGCAACTTTCCAAGGGGGCGGTGGGGAAGGAAATAGAAAGGGCAGGCTGCCACCAGAAGAAAGGAACGCAGGCACCAGAATAAGGGGCAAGGGATGGGAAGCCGCCACTAGGGGAAGTCCATAAATGGAACAATGAATGGCTTGGCGACCGCTAGACGGAGGAAGGAAAGGTAAAGTGGCAACGGTGGGGCAACCGTTGGCAGGACTGTGGCGGGAGCTGGTGCAGAGGCAGGGCCAGGGACATGGGACCGTGGCTGAAAGGACTAAAGGAACACGGAAACGGAAACCGAAAAGTGGTCAACTGTTGCACACATACCTGAGGCGGAGACTGTGGCTGCCGCTGCGGTTCCTGTGGTGCCACTAGCACCGCCCGATGATCCCCCTCCCAGGCGACGCTGCTTCTCCTGCTTGGAGGAGGTCATCTGCACTAGGGATTGGGCGGCGGACCATTCCAAGTGCTCGCACAGCTGCTCCTCGCCGGCGGGTCCCTCCTCCCGGTCAGCCTCGTCGTCCAGCTCGATTACCTCACGCTTCAGCAGGGATCTGGAGGAGCGTTTGGTCAGCGACTTGAGCGATGACTTGCTGCCGTTCCCATTTCCATTTCCACTGGCATGTACATTCCCATTGGCATTGCGCAGCACCGAGGATGAGGACCTGTCCTCCAGCCTTAGTTTGCTGCCGTTCCTCGGTTTCGGTCGCCGCCAGCTCTGCAGCTCGCTGCTGCTGCTTCCGGATCCGGTCGAGGCAGGGGATGCCGCCGCGGCATACTTCCTGCTGGCACTCGCGTAGGCAATCGTTTGTATCTTGTTCCGATTGGGCAGTATAAAGTCCACAGACATGGTTCCTGCTCGGTTCTGCTCTTTCCTTGTGGGCCGAATCCGACTCTGACTCCGTCGCCGTCTCCGTCACCGTCTTCGTCTCCGTTGCCGTGTCCGCTCCCCGAGTCTGCCGGCAGTTGCCAGTTTGGCCGCCTGGCGGATCAAATCTTATAAATTGCCTGTTCAACAGACCCCGCGTTGTCCACACCCCACACCTCGGGGTCGGTCTGCTCTTATATTGTGTTTGGTTTGGTTCTGGCCTTCGATTCGGGTCTCGGAATCCTTTGTGGGGTTTGTGGGGCACCTCCTACGCCTGCTGCTCTTGAATCCCGTTTCTGTTTCTTATGTTTTAAATTTGTTTTGTATTTACTATGTAGATATAGCACAACCTTCTTTGACATCGACTCCAGCGTCGTCTGCAGTAAAATGCTTTAGCTTTGCTCCTTGTTCTCCTTGTTCTCCTCTTCCAACTCCTCCAAGTAGTTTTACTTCAACTTTGACATTGACATGAGTTGCCTTGAGAGTACGGCTGCTCCAGCTTCAGTTCTAGCTCCGGTTCCAGGACCTGCTCCTGCTCCTGCTCCGGCTTCTGCTTCTGCTTCTGCTCTTGCTCCTGATGCCTCTGCTGGCTCTGCTTGCTCTTTGGTGTTTTTGGAAGCGTGCCCTTTAGCGTGCCGGCTGCGACTGGCGGGCATCCTCGACAGCCTCCTTTCCTCCTCTATACCCTTCTGCGCAACTTATATAACTTGTGTCGGCTTGGCTCTGAGCGCTCGCTGGCCTGGCCGAAACTCACTTTGCCACAATTGAAGGTATTTTGCGTTCGTTGTTGCGTTGCCGTTGCCGTTACAATCAAGGTTCTGCAAGGAGTAGACATGAAAGTAAATTATATTGGATTTACTCACTGGCAGGACTCTAGACAACGACGCAGTACCATTTACATACAAATATAAGTACGAATATTCGTTGCAGATTCCCCAAACAGACAAATAAGAAACGAAGAAACGCATGGAAATATTTTCATCTAATCTTATAAAGAAGAACATATCTTCATAAGATATTTATTTAATATATGTACATACATACAAAAATATGTGTTTGAGCATCATGCAACATCTATGTATAACGGCGGACAGTTTTCTTAGATTAAAAAAAACCCTACAAGTAAATGGATAGAAGTTTTGACCAAAGGGCTCTGCAAAGCTCTTTATAAAAACAAAAGGGAATATGGATAAATTAAAGGGAAAGTAATCCATTTATTAAGTCCCTTTTGCATCTCCTTAAGAGGGAGCATGTGGGTTTTTATCTTACAGGTTTTCTGTGGTAGAATAATCCATATATGCAAATTTGCCGATTATTTGTTGCTTTTGACTGTACTACTCTTTAAACCACCACACACTGGAATCCCACTTAAATTTAAGGTAAATACTCTGTAAACTCTGCGGTGTACACTCCGCCGTACTTGCCACCAAACAAAAAGCTAAAAAAAGTGCACTCCCCGTAAAATTGCATAATTCAAATGCCGATTTGCGAGTGAAAATTGTAAACAAGTTCCTGCGGTGGTTGGCAGCCATAATATTTACATTATAAATGCAGAAACCGCCGTGCAATCAGCGTCAACCCAAACCGACGCACAAGACACCACACGGACGCGGCAGGGAGATACTGCAGGCGCTGTGGTGGTGTGCCACGAGGGGATGGGCCAGAGGGGTCGGCGATTTGCAACACTTGATTACACTTAATTGATAAATTGTTATACTTTTTGCACTAAATTGCATGGGTTATACATGGGTTGGCAGTACGTTTTCCACACAGAAAGGAGCGAGAGAAGAGATATGTAGGAAGGACTCCCTGTCACTTTTACATCCAATGGAAGGCGCACACTCACGCACGGGCACGGACACGGACACGAATACGAGTACGAGTACGGGGATACGGACACGGACACGGACACGAAACTATCTATCCCTATCCCACTTTTAAAAATGGCGCATACACTCGTTGCCATTGTTTAGGAAATGCAGAGACGACAATTGCAATTCCGACTGGGACTCTGACTCGGATTCGGATTCGGATTCGACTCGGATCCTGATTCCGATTCCAATTCCGACTCCGACTTCGACTCCGACTGGGAATCCCATTCATGGGCTGCGATGCTTGGCTTGTTCCGCTCTTGCTCCTTCCGCTATATCGAACACACTTTTTTCGAGCTCACTTTTCTGTCGCAGCTATCACATGTTGGAAAATTATTATTTTCCACCGACTTGGATTGATTTTGTAGCGGGTTATTGAATATATGCCTTAATTTTTTCGCCTGTTCGTTGTTTGCTGCTCGCTTCAGCAACAACAACTTGTTTCACTCTGCACTTGTCGAATGTTTTGTGAATTGAAATCGACTGAGAGACGAGCGAGCGCAGCGAGAGAAGGAGAGATAGATAGGAATAGGTCGGCTCGGGAGAGAGCGCACTCGCTGGCACTCTCGCGGCGAGTGGCGAGTGGTGCGAGTACATGCAACAAATAGTCAACTGTTGGTTGCCTTAGCCTACCTCACTGTCGTCTCCACCAGCACACCCCTATCCCGTACACTCTCTCACACTCGCACTCACACTCTCTGTCTCTGTCTCTTTCTCTTTCGCTCCCGCTCTGCCTCTCTCTTTTTAGCCATGCACATAAACAATGCGAGATTTTATTGCATACTTTGCAGCAACCGCTGCCACTGCAACGAGTGTCGTGTCGACATCGCAGTTTATATACACACACAAGCGCACGGGCACCGAAAAAAAAATACCCAATCTCGAGGCACACACACACAGAACAAACAGCACTTACACAGAAACATCACTTTGTTGCATACATCACAATCACATGCAACACGAAACATCTGAGGATTGCCAAATCAATTCATGCATAAATTAATGGTATCGGGATAAATACTACTTTTTGGCCCATACACATGCTTGGGTCTATGTGGGGATATATCATAGGGGAATCTAGTTATGTGTGAATCTAGAATGGTGGTATACTATATGAACTCTCGTACTCGCTCTGATTTGTTGCCCTGCTATTTTCCTTGGCTTGTTTTCCTCAGCCCAGTTCCGTTTCACAGTTTTTCCTCGCTTTTCTCTTATAGATTTTTTGCACTTTGTCACGTAATTTGTTTTGCTCGGCCTGGACTTGGTTTCACGTTAAGTTTTATGTATTTTACAGTTTATATTATTATTATTATGAGTACTATTAAACTATGGACTTGTTTCCTCTTGCGCAGTGTGGCTGCCGCTGTGCGTCAGTTTTTGACGTACCACTCCCTTCTACTGTGCGCTTCGTATTCGCAGCTTTCGGTTGTTTCGCCGTTGCCGTTACCGTTGCCGCTCCCGTCACATCACTACTGCGTGTGTGTGTGTGTGTATGTGTGTGTGTGTGTATCTGTGTGTGTGTGTAATTTACAGCGAGTGTGCGTGATTTCGGGTCAGCAGCAGTGGCAGTGGCAGTGGCAGAAACAGCAACAGCAACAGCAGCAAATCCAACACCAACGCACCACCCTGTTGGTGGGACGGGGTTGTTTGTTGCTCGTAACTATGATCCCACCGAAGGGTTGACCGTGGGTGGGGGGTGCTCAGCTCTATAGTTCAGACGAAGATGGGTCTTTACTTTCAGTTATTGATATGACTACTCTGATTTATCAGATACCGATCGATAGGTAGTGTCATTTGATGGATGATTGCCCCACACATTGAGAAACAACAAGTAGCCAGCCAGCCCCCATTCGGGCGCCCACATTCAACAACCCTAAATCGGAGAGAGATAGGTATATATATATATGAGGTATGTGATCTGCGCCTGCGCTGCTGCTCTCGTTTTGGCCATCGCACTCTTGTTTCTCTTCGAAAACAAGCGAGTAGCCCACTCACACACACGCACAGAGAGACAGGGACAGAGGCTGGCACGGACTCGTGCCAGGCAAATCCACACACACTTGTGGATTGCCGAAAATTATGCAACAGCACCGCCAGGAGCTGTGGCAAGAGCAGGAGTGGACGTCGAAGTGGAAGTGGAAGTGGAAGTGGAAGCGGGACCAGAAGTAGAGCCAGAAGCAGGACCACTCTGGGGGTTGGAACGCCGGCCGATTGCGAAGGAAGAAGGAAGCCCGTCGAAGCCGGGGGTGTGTTTTGATGTCTGCCACTTGGCTGCCCGACTGCTGCCCCGGCCGCTTGTCCGCCTGGCCGCCTGACTGCCACAATTGGCACGGCGCTGGGTTAAAAATACCAAACGGATCCTGGGCCTGCAAATCTGCATGGGAGCGGGGTCCATGTCCAGGTCCGGGACAAGGATTTGGTTATAAATTATGAGCCTCAACTAAGCGCCGCTCAAGTCGTAGGCGTTTAATTTGGTATTGTTTTCATTCCTTGGTTTTGGTTATTTGAGGAACTATTTCTGGGGAATGTCCCCTTAGCATAGTTGGGGCTGACCAGAGAACTGACAACGAAACTTGCTCCTTGTTGTCCTTTTTAACGTTTTGAGGTTTTGGGTTTATTTCGTTTCGTTTCGTTTGGTTTCCTTTGGTTTTGGTTCGAATGAGGACTGAGGACTGAGGACTCGTTCTGGGGTTTGTTTGCACAGCCCCAAAAACCGAATCGAAAAGGGGGACACAGCAACAAGGACTTCATGGCCCGTGGCCCATTATTGCCCCCCTTCGGCCAAGTCCCTTGCGGTTACATCTTTTTTTTTTGTGTGCCTCTGCCTCTGCCACTGCCTCTGCTGTGCTGTTGCTGCCACTGCTGCCACTGTTGACTCTGCTGCTGCGTTGACATCAGCGCTTCCGCTGCGGGCTTCCTTATTATTCCTGTCACTAAGCCGCCCTTTAAATTCGCAATGAATGCCAAACAGCGAAACAGTTAAATGCTTTTTTTTCCATTTCGTATTTTGTGGTGCCTCTGTTGTTCGAGCCACGGAAGTGCAACACCAACGAACCCGGCAACGAACCCACCAAAACCAGACCGGAAGAGACGGGGAATGGATCGGGACGGTGACGGGGAAGGGAACGGGGACGGAGATGGGGTTATGGTGTTGGGAATGGAAACAACCGCAAGGTTACCCCCAGCCGAAAAGGGGTTGCTGTTGCTTTTGCTGTTGCTGTTGTTGCCTTTGCCATTGCCGTTGTCCTGAGGTCCTGCTGTCCTGATGTCCTGCCGCGCGACGGCTGCCTTCGCGGTTACATTGACCCTTTTTCCACGGCCATAGGCTTTTCTTTCGTCAACGCTAATGGAGCTTAAAAAGTTGTCAAAGCGGCGCGGGATTTATATTTTAATTTCAAAGTGACAAAATAGAAAATGAAACGGAGCAGGAGGCAGGAGGCAGGAGGCAGGGGCGGGGGGAAGAGAGTCCCTGAATAGGACCCGACGGTGGAGGTGGGCTGCGGACCCATCAAAAAGGCTCCGAACAAGGCATCAAATCAACAGAGCTCTGCCCATCACAAATCAGACGCGAATCGTCGACAGCCAACGGAAGGAGTGGACAGGACGTGGTGTGGGACGGAAAATGGTGTGGGAGCAAAGTGGAGTCTATTCCTGGCAATCGTGGGTCCTGTTGCCGGTCCTGGCCATCGCATTTATTGCCATATGCTGACAGTGTTGCTCGCGGGCAGTCAGTCGCGGCGATGGGGGCCAATTTGAGCTGTCATAAAAATGTACAACAACTGGCTACAAAGCAAACAATGCGACGAGTGCCAACAGCAACATCAGAGGCAACAGCAACAGCAACAGCAGCAACAACAACAGTAACAGCAACAACATCTGAGGCAGCAACAAAAGCAATGGCCGCATTCAGCAATTGTGCAAACAAATTGCTGTTGCACTTTACTTTTATTTTACGAGTGCGAATGCCAGAGCTTTCTTCTTTCCATTTTTGCTTGTTCCCTCAGTTTTTTGCCGTCCTGGCCAACGCTGGTTGACGGACCAAAGGAGTCCTGGCGTGTCCTGGCTGTCCTGCTGCCTCCATCCGCCATCCACCATCCACCATCCACCATCCTCCATCCACCACCCACCATCATCCGCCTGCTGCCCAATTTGCATTTTACTATCGTTGCAGGTTTTTATAGTTGTTGCTTTTGCATTTGGCGCTGTCGCTGTTGCTCTTACTTTTTGATGCCTCACTCTGTTTCTGTTGCTGGTGCTGGTTCTGGTTCTGCTTTGGGGTCTGATTGGGAGTCTACTTCTGGGCCTGGGCCTGGGCCTGGGTCTGAGTCCTGGGTCTGGTCCTGGTCCTGATCCTGGTTCTGGTTTTATTTGCGCGCCGCAATTTTCCTTCCTCCTGATCCAGCTCCTTCACATCCACAGCCATATCCTTCTTTTTGTGGAGCTCTTGCTCTGGTCATAAAGTTTACTTAACATGCCGCTGACGCTTTAGTTTTTTTTACTTCTTCGCTCTGCGAAGCTGTTAGATTTCGGATTGCAAAAGTCAAGCTTCTTACCAGATGGAGACAAACACAGAGACGGACTCGGACAGAGACACAGATACAGCCACACACAGACACAGAGGAGACAAGGAGCATGCCCATATGCTGTGGAAAATCTCCGAGCACTGACATTTGCTCGGCATTTCTAATGTTGTGTGTAATGGCTCGCCATCAATTATATCAATTTCTGGGCAGAGAACTTGGAGTAAACAACACCACTCCAATGGCGGCTACTCAAGTTGATTAGTTTGATCAAGAGGTATGTCCAGCTCTGGCTATATTCTGGTTACATTTATTGCACAGACTGTGGTCCATGGCCTTGGAGCAGCGGAGCAGTGGTATGCATTCTGTGCTGGCTGTGGTTTCGATTGCACTTGAAGTTTTTTCCAAAAGTTTTACTGATTGAATGGAGGCTAGACGTGACTCAAACATTATTCAACCCTCAAGGATATCCTGTTTGGAGTCTTATTATTCATAAGTCAATTATCAAGTGTACTATCTTTGAATATTGAGCTACGATTCCCCAATTATAAGGCTTTAAAAAGTTCACAGTCTGAAGATTCCTTCAGGGATAAGCTATGACTGTTTGCGAAGTTTAAAAGGTAGAAAGAAGTCCTGCACGTATTTGGATTGGATTGGATTCATATGAATAGATATACTTCAAGACACTCGCACACAGAAGTAAAACCATAAATTGAACTCTATATTTCTCTGAGATATCACATCAAAATCCATTCAAAATGAGCTCCCAACAACCTGCGTAATCCATATCCCATCAAATCCCATTTTAATACAGCAAAAGTTGAGTAAAATATAAACAATTTCCCCCCAATCCAAGGCCCAGACCCAGACCCAGACCCAGGCCCAGGCCCAGACCAGGCCCAGCAGTTGCTAAGGTGGAAATTTATTCAAAGACCTATTCAATCGCGATCCCACTAAGCTCACAAGGTGCTTTACTCCGGTTAGCTGTTCACTTTCCAAGCGATTTACGAGTCTGGCGGAGACGGAGATGGAGACGGAGAGCACAGCGGAGTAGAGCAGAGAGGAATCCTTTGGGTCGGGTTCCATCCAGTATCCAGGCCATCCATCCCTTGCACTTTTCGCGCAGGAACATTTTACAACATTTGTATTTATTTGGCGTCATGAGTTTAAGATGTTGTTGATATATGTTTACCGTCGTGCGACACACACACACACACACATGAGCAGAGGGACACACGTGGCAAGCAGCAAGTAGCAAGTGGCAAGCGGCAACTGCTGCAGCTACACATAAGTAAATTAGGATTTATGCTTTGTTCTATTTGAGCGCTGGAAAGCCATAAACGATTTTTTATGCACAGCCACTTGGCTGGAGAGGGTCCCTCTCCCTTGCGTCTCCGCCTCCCTTGGAGCAGCAGTTCGCACCTTTTCCGAATACGATTTACGACCCCATGCATGTGAGAACGTAAAATTGTTATAAATTTGCATGTGCAGAATGTGGAATCTCTCCTTTTAGACAGACCCAAGGAGGAAGTGTCTAGGAAGGAGTAAAGCAGCAATAAACCCAACTTACGGCCAAGATCAATCGCAGCGGCTTGTGGAAGTTAATGGCACATGAAACTGAACAACAGAGCAGAGTGGTGCACACTCCAGGAATCGCTGGAAGCATGAAACACGCGGGAATCGCTGACTGACAAAGGAGCAGAACTCTTCAGGCATCGAAGGAATCACTGGCTGACAAAGGAGCAGGAGCAGGAGCATTCCCAGCTCAAAGTGAGCGTAATTAATGCTCGCAAATTTATCAAGCTGCATTAGGGCAATGAA